ACGGCATAGTTCGCGCAGGTTGCCGGAGCTGGCTTTGCGGTTAACAGATGCAAATTTCCATTTATAAAGCGGAGCGTGCCTGGGTAAACGACCTGATTTATGAAGGGCCTACTTCAAGAGCAAATCAGGCAGCACATCTCACAAAAAAGAAGCCTGTGTTTCTTTTCTTTTTTTCCCTTTTTTTACTTGCTACGCCTCTTAAACATGAGTCTCGATGGAGCTCCGGGTCAATAGGAACCTCGGGAAAAACATCGTATTCCCACCCCCACTCCCCCCACCCCCTGGATGGGCAAAGCAGAGGCGTTGCTATAATCCTTGCCTCCTTTGAGGTCTTTTCTTTGCCTCTTACAGCGCTAAAGAAACTGTAAGAAAATAACCCGGAGAGGATTTGAAAAGATCTCGCAGGTGGCTTCTGCTCAATAGCAACAGGTGCTGTGCCTTAGCAGAAAAAGAAGAGGCAGTGGAGTTATGTATGAGGCTCCCCCTTCTCCTCCAGCAAGGAGTTTCCATACCTCCCAAGATTTGCCACCAAAGTTTCTCAACAGGTTACTCATCCGCTGGTGGAAAGCACTTGCGAGAGTGACTCAGCAATCGCCTCGCCTCGCTTTGTCTCCAGATCCAACAAACTTTAGTTTTTATTGTTTTAGTACAGTGGTGCCTCGGGTTAAGTACTTATTTCGTTCCGGAGGTCCGTTCTTAACCTGAAACTGTTCTTAACCTGAAGCACCACTTTAGCTAATGGGGCCTCCTGCTGCTGCCACGCCGCCAGAGCACGATTTCTGTTCTCATCCTGAAGCAAAGTTCTTAACCCGAGGTACTATTTCTGGGTTAGCGGAGTCTGTAACCTGAAGCGTATGTAACCCGAGGTACCACTGTAATGGTATTGATTATCCAGCAGTGGTTGGTGAGATGAGTAAGGCAGAAGGAGGTTCAACTGCAGGGGGCGCAAGAGGCAATGATGGGCAAGCCAAGTAATGGCACACCTGAATGTTGGGTTTCTACTCAGATGGGATGAGTGGGCCTTGCTGTTCTACCCTTTGATGTAAAACAAGAAAGAAAGAAAGAAAAAGGCTCCTGTCCTGCAAGAGAAAAGAATGAATCCAGGGATGGTGCACAATAGCCTGTCCTCCCTGGCAGAGCTGTTGCTGCCACCAATGGCAGTTGGTGCCCAAGGGAACTGGTAGGGCAGAAGTTGGAGGGGTGAGCCTTTACAGTAGGTGGAGATAGAGACAGGCGATTCCAGGTTTGTCCGCATCCTCTTCCCTGCTGAGATCGACAAGAGTGACCCTGAGACTAAGGAGGTGGGGGCTGGCATCCCCGGATTGGATCATAGAATTGTAGAGTTGGAAGGGACCATGATGGCCATCTAGTCTAACCCCCTGCAATGCAGGAATCTTTGGGATGTGGACCAAATCCAGAGTGTAGTCCCTAAGACGGTTGGATGGCGCCTTGTGTGCCTCCTTCAAGCAACTCTTGCAGCCAAGCTAGTGCCAAACGTATTGCTCTGCTTTCCTTTGGACCACATCAGCGAGGCTGAGAGTGGGGTCTTGTCATCTAGGCTGTCCAGGACCCACAGATACATTGCCCAGGTTTGTGTCCTGGAGAGGTCACTTCAGTGCTGCTAATACAGTGGAGGTGCACTCCATTGTCTCTCGAGACGGACGGATGCTGACAAGCGCCACAAGACTTCTTCCCCCACTCCTTTAGAAGGCTAGCACTCCTCTGGAAACTTCAGAAAATGGTGCCTCTTGTTTCATAAGGAAAACACAGGTGGAGGGTTTCCCTCCTCCTCCCTGTTTGCATTGGTGCCATTTTTTATTACAGACCATCTGCTCAATGATCTGAACCTCCTCACGGAAGGCCAGGCCAGACGGACTAATTCCATTCCTTGACTCATTAATTTCCGCCGCGCCTTCCTTTGGAGTTGATGTGCATGCCCTTCCGAAGCCTCGTTGTGGACCTGATTTGCAGACGCTCTCAGAGGGGTGGGCTGGGACAGCCTCACAGTTGGGTTCGCAGTTGCCCCATTGCCCGTGAGATGGGCCGTGACGATGAGGAATGCAGAGAAGGCCTTGCAGGGCGGGGCAGGAAAGATCTCGTTTGCCAAGTGGACCTTGTGCTAGAGTGTGGTGTGGAAACATGAGCAGGGAAAGTGTCCCTGGAGAAAGCTCTGCCCTATCTCATTCACATTTTGCATTCCCTTATGCGCCCAGTGGATTATTGGGTCCTGTTTTGCTTGTCAGAAAGGAAACCAGAGATGATCCCAAACTGGATATTGGGTGCATTCACACTGCCATTTATTGCGGTTTCCTGACATTTCCCGAACTGCTAATTTCTGCATTATATCCCGTGTTCTTTTTTCCTGGGGGTACTCAAGGGATTGCAGTACACACATCTTTTTCTTTCTTTCTAGAAGAAAAGCACTGGCTATTTCTCAGCTTTCACATGATGCAAAAGCCGCTTCCAGAAATATAGAGAGATATAGCGCATGTTTGGGGCTCATTTTTGAGTTATTTGCTTCCAGGGAAAAATCCGTTCCCTGGGGAGAAATTATTAGATAACAGGCAATCCTCATTTTGTGCAGGGGTTTTCTGGACCCCTGCGCATGTTGACGGGGCCCACATAAAGCGTCCTTCCCTGTTCTGCCCTTTTAGTGATGTTTTAGGGTCACTTCTGGGTTCAGTGCCATGCTTGTGTGCACGGTCACTTGTCAATTGGATACATGTAGCTTGATCATTGCCTGTGGTCTGAAAATTGTAGCTCTGTGTGGCGAATGGAACCTCCAGACAACTCTCAGTGCCCTTAACAAACTACACTTCCCAAGATTCTTTGAAGGAACTCGCGGCTGTTGAAAGTGGCAAGAGACTGCTTAAATTCAGATGGGACCTGAGTCGGGCCAGTGGTTCATCTAGCTCATTATTGTCTACACTGACTGGCAGCAGCTTCCTGGGGTTTCAGGCAGGGCTCCTTCCTGTCTCTAACTGGAGGTGCCAGGGATTGCATACCCTCCAACATTTCTCTGTTGAAAATAGGGTTAGGGTTCTATTCCATAATAATGATGATGATAATTTTATTATTTATACCCTGCCCATCTGATTGGGTTGCCCCAGGCACTCTGGGCGGCTTCCAACATAAATAAAAAAACATAATAACACATTAAAGAACTTCCCTAGACGGAGCTGCCTTGGCTTCAGGTGTCCTCTAAAGGTTGTATAGCTACTAATCTCATGGGCTCAGGGGCTGCATAACTCCATACCTTCCAACATTTCTCCAATGAAAATAGGGACGTCCTAAGAAAAAGTGGGACATTTCTGGGGTCAAACCACAAACTGGCTTCTGTGAATCCAGGACTGTCCCTGGAAAATAGGGACACTTGGAAGCAGTGGCGTAGCGTGGGTTGTCAGCACCCGGGGCAAGGCAAGTAATTTGCGCCCCCTAACCCGTGGATTTGTGCCCCCAACCCGTGGATTTGCGCCCCCTAACCTGTGGATTTGCCCTAACCCCAGATGTTGCGCCCGGTGCGGCCGGCCCCCCCTGCACCCCCCACGCTACGCCACTGCTTGGAAGGTCTGTTGTGGTGACCATGCTAAGCTAGGTGGCCCAGTGGTCTGACTCAGTATAATGAAGGGCTATGGCTCAGTGGCGGACCACTGGGATTTATCCCGGGACTTCTGCATGCGAGGCAGATGTTCTGCCACTGAGCCTCGGCCTTCCCCCCACCCCCTGCACACCGTCCTCCTACGGGCTTCTGAAGAGCGGCAGGTCCTGCCTCCAGTGTCGCGAGGAGGGGGAGGCAGGAGCAGAAGCTGCGAGATGTCTGCAGGGGCGGGAGAAGAAGAACAATTAAAAGCTGCGGCGCTCCTGTCATTAGCGAGAGAACCAGATGAAATTAACACCTGCGATCCACTCGGAGCCGCTTTTATTTCGGGGGGGGGGGCTGGCTTATTATTTGAGCCCAGGTATTGCCTTTGCCCTCTCTCGCTTCGCCTGCAATGTGTGTAGGTGGGCAGGATCGCCTGGAGTGGGGAGGCAGCCTCTCTGGCGGGGAGAAAGTTGCGGCAGAATCCGCCCACAGGCTCCATTACATGATTCAAATGTCAATACAGGCTTTAATTGGTTTCAGGGTCCCCTCCTTTCCCTCCCCACCCCCCACTCTCCGACAGCTGCATTTGGTAATTAAGACTCCACAAATAGATTTCTCGGCAACAGGTACGGGAAAAGGGGGAAGTTTGGCGGTCGTGTCTGGCGTACGGAGGACACTTTCCTTCCTTCAGCAAGAAGTCTCGTTCCAGGCCACGTTCATACCATACCTTTAAAGCACTGTGGTACCACTTTAAACAGTCGTGGCTCTCTCCCAAAGGATTCTGGGGGCTGTAGATCATTTAGGGTGCTGAGACTTCTTAAGGAGATCCCTATTTCCCCTCCCAGAGCTACAGTTCCCCGGGATGAGGAACACACTGGGAATTGTAGCTCTGTGATGGGAATTCCTCCCGGAGCCCAGTCCTTGCAATTTTCCTTTTTATTTTTAACAAAGAATGAAGGAAGTGTTTTGTGGTATCAATGTCCATCTGGTTCAGTGTCCTTTTCTCACAGTGGCCAACCAGATGCCCCAATGAGGAGCCTGCAAGTGGGACCTGAGTGCGACACATCTCTCCACTTATGATTCCCAGCGACAGGCATTCAGAGGCATGCTGTCTCTGATAGAGGAAGCAGAAGACAGCCACTGTGGCTAGCAGCCATTGATGTCCTTGTCATCCACAAGGAGCTAAGAAAAGCATAAAGTTAGGGTCCAGACATCCCAAACTGGATTCATGTCCTTCTCACTGCATCCTGAGGTGTACAAGTCCCAAACCATTTTGATTACCTGGATGAGAAATTGCAATCCTTCTATCCGTTTAAGTGCTTTGGCGTTTCCTCTATGTCCCGATCTTACAGCAATTTCCGTGGGTTTGGTTTCCCATTCCCGCCGTTAATCCCGATTTCCCCATCTTCCTTTCCAGCTTGTGCAAAGGACGGACGCTCTACTCGGTGGTGAGAGATGCCAAGATCGTCCTGGATGTCAACAAAACGAGGCAGATTGCTCAAGAGATTGTCAAGGTATGAGCAATGGGGAATAAAAACTCAGGGGACACCCATTCACACTCTTGAGACAGGTGCCTGGTGCCTGGGACCCACTCTTGGCGTGGATGCTTTGACGGATGTGATGCAAATGGTTCAGAGGGAAAGCAGATATCTTTCCCACCCAGCCAACTTCTACACACACATTCATAGCAGGAAGCAAAGTAGTCAAGTCATGCAGACATCTGGTGCTATGTGGTGTGGGGTGAAGCCCTATTTTACTTGATTTGTGTCTGGGTGAATCCTGAAACAGGCTGAAGGAGCCTGGGAGTAGTCAGTGGGAATCGCTTCATGACGTTTCTGAGATGAAAGGAGCAGTAGCGGAGTGTCAGATTCAAGGTCCTATTATGATAGTCACAGCCATGCCTCGTCTTCCTCACAAGCCACGCCCCTCCTAAGATTACATAATCACAGATTTGCAGAGTTAGAAGGGTCATCCAGTCTAATCCCCTGAAATGCAGGAAGCTCAGGTGAAGCATCCCCCACAGGTGGCCATCCAACCTCTGCTCTTAAAAATCTCTGAGGAAGGAGAGGCCACCACATTCCGAGGTCTTACTGTCAGAAAGCTCTTCTTAAGATTATACAAATGTCTATGATTATATACAAGGGACACGGGTGGTGTTGTGGTCTCAACCACAGAGCCCAGGGCTTACCGATCAGAAGGTTGGCGGTTCGAATCCCCATGACAGGGTGAGCTCACGTTGCTTGGTCCCTGCTCCTGCCAACCTAGCAGTTCAAAAGCACGTCAAAGTGCAAGTAGATAAATAGGTACCACTCCGGTGGGAAGGTAAACGGCTCTGGTTCGCCAGAAGCGGCTTAGTCATGCAGGCCACATGACCCGGAAGCTGTACGCTGGCTCCCTCGGCCAGTAAAGTGAGATGAGCGCTGCAACCCCCTAATGGTCAGGGGTCCTTTTACCTTTACCTTTATGATTATATACAATAATCTTACAGTTAAATAATAATAATAACAGTAATGATGGATGGGTGCATTGCAGTGATCAATGCATGTGTTGCCTTCCAGCTAGATCTACTATTTTCTGTGCATGTGCAAATGATTTGGAGTGCTCCAGTGTCTTCCCTTGGAGTGGCTTAAGTTGTGTTTTCCATGGCGTTCCATTGGACGTAACAGAACTTGCCCACCATTCCCTTGAAACTAAAGGGGTGGATGGAGATGTCAAATTCGGTTCTCTCTGTTTCACAATTTCCCCGTCTAAAATTCAGCTCTGCACATTTCTGCCGCACCTTGCAATGTTTTAAAATCCTCATGAAAACCCTTCTGCAGCTTGGTCTGTGGTTCTGAGTAATGTACACAAGCCTGCAACTGATTTCCCCATATCCAATACATTTCTGTATGTTATTTTCACAAGCATCTTGATTTCCACACTGGCGTTCCCCAAGCTTATGCATTTTTGTGAACATCTCGGTTGGAAGGACTGTATTGCGAAATTTGGATGACTGTGTTTTGGTTCTTGCATTGTTGCGGAAAGCGGGGATTGGTTAAATGCAGAGTTAAATGCAAACTAAATCAGGTTTCTCTCCCATCCCTAGCTCACAGACTCCATGTTGGGGGCCCCTGTGTGCAGTCCGCAATCCCGCATGGAGTCTGGGACACTTTACCCCCCCCCCAGACCACACTTGGGAATGCTGGGGTTTCATTCATCCTCCTCCACATCCTTCCATGTCACATTGAAAGGTGGATTATCAGGGCTATTTCTATCCTATTAAACTCAAACCCAAAGCCATTTTCATTTCATTGGCTTTCATTAATTCCCCCCCCCCCCAATCCGCTGCCTAATGAGCAGATACAAGTTTCTATCTACGCCAACGCGGCCCATGTTTCTTAATAGAGCTTGGCCAGAATCTCTCTCTCTCTCTTTCTCTTCCTATCTCTTCCCCCTCTTCAGTCAAACTTCCCCAAGCAATGTATATGCCAAGGCTCCAAGACTTCTCTAAAATTTTTGCTACATGGGGTGTGTGTACCTGTCTGGCAGTTAATGCCTGTTAAATGATAAAATACTGTTGCCCAGTGCTATTTGTCTAGAAAAAGAGGTGCCGGAACTCACCAGGAACGCCTCCCTTGTTCTCTTATAATGGCAATGGTGCCCACCTGAGAGGTGCTGGAACCAAGTTCCGGTGAGTTCTGGCTGCACCCCCCCCCCCGCTGTTTCCCAGCCACAAGAGAGAGCATGCCAGATCTTCCCTTGCTCTCGGTTGTGTCCAATGTTAATCAGTTGCAGTTAACTGCAATGGCTAACTTGGATTCATTTATTTCACTGAGTCTACTTGGATCAGAACTTGGTTGGATGCAGCCCTCTGCTTGTTGAGGTGCCTCACTCCGAGAGCTGATTTTGCCACTGAGCCAAAATAGGGGGCAGAGTGCATGCTTTGCCTTGAAAAGGTCCCAGCTTCAGCCCTGATATCTCCAGTTAAAGGAGTGGTGGGAGCCTGTGGCCATCCTGGTCTTTGTTGGACTACAACTCCCATCAGCCCCTGCAAGCATGGCCAATGCTCAGGGATGATGGGAATTGTAGCCCAACAATATTGGTAAGGCATTAGGCACCCCACCACTGGGTTACAAGTACTCAATAAGCAGTCTGAGTTGGGGGGAATCTCTTTTACCCATGCGGTTGCCCTCTGCCCACACCCAGTGTGGTGTAGTGGTTAAGAGCGGTAGCCTCGTAATCTGGGGAACCGGGTTCGCGTCTCCGCTCCTCCACATGCAGCTGCTGGGTGACCCTGGGCCAGTCACACTTCTTTGAAGTCTCTCAGCCCCACTCACCTCACAGAGTGTTTGTTGTGGGGGAGGAAGGGAAAGGAGAATGTTAGCCGCTTTGAGACTTCTTAAAGGGAGTGAAAGGCGGGATATCAAATCCAAACTCTTCTTCTTCTTCTTCAGTGTCTGAAACCCCCCTGATCCCATTTCCCCCACTGCTTTATAGACTTATTCCTGGTCCCAGATTGCCAGGTAGGGAGGGATGTAGGGTAAATACGCACCCTCTCATCATCTCTCATGAACAGTAGTTCCTGATGGTTCTTGGACCTGTTAGGGTGGAAGGCATGGAGCCCAGCAGTAGGTGGCGCCAGAGCCAACTTGTTCTGGTTTTGCCTTCATCCTCCTGCCTGAGATGTTCTGCTGCAACTACGGAGGAGGAAGCTAACAACCAGGACCACTCCCTGGGCTAGCAGTAAGGCAGGGAGGGACATGTGGACTGGCTGCTAGTGGACAGACATAATGGACCAGCTTCTTCCCCCATATGCTTTCGCCCATTAGCACTAATAGGCAATTGTGGGTTGCGAACCTCACATCTGCCTTATCCCGGTGCATAGTGATAGCCACCCCAGTATATTCAACAGGAGCCGAGAGTCTGACAGGAGCAGAATATTTAGTGGAAGACCCACAGCTACTTCCCCCTGCTGCATTTGTCTTGACTTAAAAAAGGTCCTTGCGAACTTTCTGGGAACAGGGCAAAGGTGTGGAACCACCCTGACATAAGGACAGGTTGGCATTTTAGAAAACCTGCGAGCCAGTAGGGGGTGCTAGCTACCCATCTAGCGTGCAGAGAAACCTGAAGACAATTCAAGGCTGCCTACAGGAAGGAGCCTCTTGTTTCAAAGAAAATGGCATGCTCAGATAGATGGAGGTCAAGCTGGGATAGGGAGTTCCAAGGAAGAGAAGCTTTAGCTTTCTAGGGCTCCATTCACACGGCACTTTATTCTATTTCCCCGACATTTCGTAAATGTCAATTTTTGTACAGCAGTTGAGCCTCCACGCAATGTAAATGCCACTTGCGGAAAACAAGTGGAACATTGCACATACCAGGGCTAGTTTCTTTGTTATTTGATTCCAGGGGAAAAAATCCATTTGCAGCCCCCTTTATCTAGAAAATTGTGGGAATAAAGTGACAAGATCTGGGACAGCAGACCAGCATACACTTCTTTCTTGCCTTTCCCATGGGGGAATCACAGGGGAACAGAAGCAGGCATTTGCAGAAAGCATGGGGGAGTAGCAGCAAGGTCCAGTGGTGTTTGTTGTTGTGCCACACCACGCCCACTGGTGAGCATGCAATTCAGCAGCATGCCAGTATAATGGTCAAGAAAGCCACTGTTTCATAGTGCAACAGGTACTGTAGTAAGAAAGCAACACCAGATAATGAGATAGAAGCGTTAGCATTATAATCAGGAAAACTGACACAATATTCCTCATGTCTGAATGTACCCTAGGCCTTAAGGCACACGTCAGGTGTGGAAGGAGCTATGGTCCCCAGACAGAGACTCAAGCATATTTTTAAAAATATGCAAATTCTCAAACAGCATTTTTTAAAAAGGAAAACATCTTAATGCAAACCTACCTAATCCACACTTTCCGAAGCAATAAGTGAACAGGGACATGGCTGTCCTTTGAAATTCTCACATCTCTGGGTTCCACAATGGAGTTTTCAAACCAACACAGGTATACATAATGGCATAGAATCATAGAATTGTAGGACTGCCATCTCTAGTCTGACCCACTGCAATGCAGAGATCCCAGCTGAAGAATCCCTGGCATACAGCCATCCAACTCTGTTGGAGAGAGAGTCCACCACCTTCTGAGGTAGTCCTTTCTGCTGTCAAACAGCTCTTACCCTTGGAAAGTTGTTCCTAATGTTTGGTGGGAATCTCCTTTCTTGTCATCTGAATCCATTGGTTCTGGTGCTACCCTCTGGAGCAGCGGAAAACAAGCTTGCTCCATCTTCCATGTGAGAGCTGCTGAGATATTTGAAAGTGGCTACTGCATCACCTCTGTCTTCTCATCTCCTGTTGGCTAAACATACCCAACTCCCTCAACACGTTCCACCTTGTCAATATCCTTCTTAAACTATGGTGTCCAGAACTGCACACAGTACCCCAGGTGGGGTCTGACCCAAGGTATACAGTAGTGGAACACGTGCAAATGTCAGTGAAAAGCAACATGCACAAATACCATAGGGGAAATTGCTTGCCCAAAGGTGTATACTGTGAGGAACAATGCAAAGGTTGATGAATTTCCATAAGGACTTAAAAAAAACACGGATGTGGAAATATAAGGAGCTAAAAGTTGGGCAACTGATTGTGCTGGAAAATGAAATTGGACTGAAAACTGGTTGGGCAGAAAAAAACTGAGACAAACTGAACCTGACAGATTTGTCCATCCTTTGCACTAAGGAAGCCTAGATGTTCCTACAGCAGGGAGAAAGATACCTGCCACCAATTACTCTTTTTCATGTTGAAGCAAGGCACCTTGTAGCTTTTTTGATGGAAAAGCTGAGCGAGTGATACAAATCCCGTAGGTCAAACCAAAAACATAAATAACATCAGCGCCCAGGCAGATAGATTCCTTCTCCAGCGAAGGCTGGCTGACTGCGGCGGTTTTAATGAGCGCGGAGACCAGTGCTTTGTGGAGACAGCAAGGTGAACGACAGCTTGCCCTGCCTCCTACACCTTTCTCGCTTCTAGACCATTAGTGCCAGGCCTGTAAGCAAGTTGTGGGAGGGTGTCAGGGAATAACAGGGGGGGTTTGGTGAGCAGTGAAAGCTGTTTGCATCTGGGCAGTGGGTGCTTTTTCTATTCTTTTCTTGAACGATGAGGTCTCAGCTCATCAAACTCAAAGAAATCCCTACGGTTACAATTCGCTTTGCCTTGATCTCCCCAGCAAGGCAAGCCCTTTTGCAGTAAGCTGCTAGTGTTTTATCCTTGTTCTTCTTTAACCAGTTGGTGGATCAGAGGGCCGAGAGGTACTGCAAGTGTTCAGTGATCTCATAGTTCAAAGCTGCACAGATGGGCTTCAAAGGGTGTATGTGGGGAGGGTGTGCATGGGGAGGGATTCTTGAGGAATCGAACCTTTTACGGATGTCAATACACACCAAACCATCATGAAATTCCTGGACTGATGCGTGGTTTGGAGGAGAGCTGTCTGTCAGATTTTTATTTTGTTTTGTGCTACCCTGAACGTCACAGCGCTTGGCTTACATATATGCCTTTCTTCCTATATACATAGAAAGGCAAGGTGTCGTCACGCTCTGCAGTTCACCTGGCTGCTCATTGCCGGCCATGGCAATTGCAGCAGGAGGTACAGCAGACAGGAAAGAGAGGTAGAGTGGTGAGGGGATTCACATAACAGTTTACCAGGCCATTCTATGAAGTGGCTTTTTAAAGGGAGTGGAGAGGGAGGAGCTTGAAGTGAGCTGCGATGGGACAGCCTAGGGTGTAGTGAGGTGTAAAGGGAGGGGGCTGGTCAAGGGTGATGGAACGATGCTTGGCGGCAGCCCCTAGTATTTAAAGAAGTTTTGAAATGTGTGTTTTAGGGGGAAATACCTTTACAAATACATATTTAAAAGCGAGTTTTAGTGCAGTCTAGCATAAGAACATAAGAAGAGCCTGCTGGATCAGGCCAATGACCCTTCTAATCCTGCATCCTGTTCTCACAATGGCCAGCTAGAAGCCTGTGGGAAACTCTCAAACGTGACCCAAGCACAAGAACACTATCCTCTCCTGTGGTTTCCAGGAACTGGTATTCAGAAGCATTGCTGCCTCCGACTACGGAGGCATAGCCATCATCGTCTATGCTTTCAAGTGCATCCGAGGAATTATGCGGTGGGTGGGTAGGAATACCCCCTTAGAGAAGGCAAGAGGAGGGGTGTCTTCTTTCAAAGAAATCCAAAAGGTCAAGAAGTGTAAGAGTTGGCATGTCCCAGTATTATGGAGAAACGCGAAGGAGTGCAGAATCCAGTCAAACCATGAAGGATGCATTTGGTGGGAATCTGACTCAGGGCTGTCTTTAGCAGATGCAGCGCCGGGGTGCAAATATCTGCCCAGCGCCACCTAATTACCACGGATAGTGGGGGGGGGGGGCGAAGCTGCGCACTGCCAGCCATGCCCCCCCCAACTCTCACCCATGCCGCTGCGGGAGAGAAATCCCAGTGGAGGCTTGGGAAAGAAGCTGCACGCCTGCCAGCCATATGGCTGATGGGGTGCAGCTTGCATCCTAAGCCTCTGCAGGGATCGCTCTCCTCCCGCAGAGGCTTGGGAGGCAAGCTGCAGGCCTGCCAGCTATATGGTTGGTGGGACGCAGCTGGCGGGTGTGCAGGTAAAGGGGAGGCCTCCGGCAAAGCCGCACAGCTCCCCCACCCGCTGGGGCGCCCCTGAGAGGCTGGAGCCCTGGCGCAACGCACCACTAAACCCTATGGGAAAGACGGCTCTCATCTGACTCACTCCTGCTTTCAACCACTGTTGATGAATACATCCCAAAGGGGTCACTATGTTAGGCCCCATCTTCACTATGCATTTAAAGCACTATCGTACCCCTTTAAACAGTAATGGTTTCCTCCCAAGAATCATGGGAATTGTAGTTTGTTACGGGTGATGAGCATTTCGGGGGGGGGCTATTCTCCCTCCCAGAGCTACAATTCGAAGAGTGGTTTAACCACCAGTCCCTCCTCCCAGGAACTCTGTGAACTGTAGTACTGTGGGAGAAATAGAGGCCACCTAACAACTCTCAGCACCTTTAACAGTTCCCAGGATTCCTTGGGGGAAGCCATGACTGTTTAAAGTGGTATGATCCTGCTAAATGTGTATATTGCAAATGGGCCTTTAGTTTGTTCCAGCAAAAGCAAAAGGAGCTGATATACGACCTGCATTTTGATCATGTCACAAAATAAGACCCTTCTGGGCCACAGGACACACAGAAATAGAGTATATGGCAGGATATATGCTACCAGGAAATCCATTAATTGTCCTACTGGAGTATGTAAAAGAAGATGTTCTGTTAGAAGACGTGGAGATGGTAAAACACTTTCTGACAGCATCCCGGAAGGCAATTACTGTATGCCTTAAGTGCAGGGATAAAGCCTGGGCCAGATTATGAAAATAGGGACAGTGTCCGAATGATAAAATTAAGTAAGAGAGTGAGGGAATGGAGAGATATTGATGATCAGGGTACTGAAAAATGGGCCTCATTTGCTATGTGTGGGTGTCATAAAACTCAGGAAAAATGCTGAACTGAACATTTTATTGGGTGCATCGTAAAACATGAGGTTTCCATTGCCATAAAAATATGAGAGGTGCTTGTAAGGGTGTTCGCAAATTGCCTTGTAAAAGGATATCCTGCTTTTTCTTGTGTTTGTTACACTATTGGTTGCTTAATTTTACCATATTATTTGCTACCTCTTGGTAAAACAGCAACAGTGGAATCCCTGCCACAGATAGCTCTCCCCTTATGCAAAAGAGCAAGTTAGTGTAAGGGAGGATGGATGGAGACAAAACCAGAACGAGTTGGCTCTGTCTGTCATTAGCTCTGGCGCCACCTACTGTTGGGCTCCATGCCTTCCGCCCTCCTAGAGCCAGAGAGTGCCTGCCACCACTGGATAACCTTATCTTCCATGAAGCTGTGTAACAAAGGCCACTTTCACACCATACATTTAAAGCACTACAATGCCATTTTAAACCAACATAGCTTCCCCCAAAGAATTCTGGGAGATGATAGTCTGCAACAGGTACTGAGAGTTGCTAGGAGGCATCTAGTCCCATTGCAGAGCAGCCAATTCCATAGTTCCCTGGGAAGAGGGTTTGCTCGTGAAACCACTCTGGGAATTATAGTTCTGAGAGGGGAATCGGGAATCGCCTAACAGCTCTCAGCCTCCTTAACAAACCACAGTTCCCAGCATCCTTTGGGAGAGGAAGCCATTACTGTTTAAAGTCGTACCACAAAACTTTACATGTCTGGTGTGAATGTGGCCAAAAGTCAATAAAGAGAAAAAATAAAATACAGTCAACTCAAGCTGGCATGAGAGAGGTTCAGATTGCTCTTGACAGAACTCTGATTTGTAGAGGGCTTTCCACTCCTCCTCCTGCTGCTGTCACTCAATTCATTTCAACTCTGCCCTGTCTTTTCCCACGACACCCTTTCAATGCCTTTTCTCTTTCTCGGCTTCTTTTGCAGGGAATGGGCTATCTCCACGCCAAAGGCATCCTCCACAAGGACCTCAAGTCTAAAAACGTTTTCTATGACAACGGGAAGGTGGTGATCACAGACTTTGGCCTCTTCAGCATCTCAGGGGTTCTGCAAGCAGGCAGGTAGGTGACCGGCTCTGTGGACCCATCGCTCTGCCTCTTAAATGTTCTCTTTTATCGGTAATGAACTGTTCGTTTTCACGACAGAACTAGGCAGGGCGCAGGAATTGTGAGAACATGCAACAACAACTGATAAGCAGCATCAGGCAGTGAGGTGGCAGAGCCAAAAGGGGGAGGGCTTCTTGGCACAGGATGCGTCCCTCTGGGCTTCTCTGGCCCTAAGGAATCTCCCAAGCCATACCTTTCTCCAGGTGACATCTCTCACCGGTCCAGGTTCACACTTTCCTTGAGCTTGTTTGTCTGCCTGGGATTGTGCTTTTTACCTCTGTTAGTGCTTCTGCCTGAACAGAAGATGGAGAGGGGCATGTGAGCCCTTGCAGGAATTAGCCAAGTGTACAAAGTTGAAATTTGCATTCAGTGCTCCACCCACTTTTTCTTCTGGCCCTGCCCACTGATGGCAAGTGGCCCCCACGAGATTGACCCGAAGGGAATGCAGCCCTCAGGCAGAATAAGTCTCCGCTCTCCTCTTCTAAATGCTCATCCCTCCCCAGAAACTCCTGCAATCTGTTCTGAGATTTCCAGGTGAAGCTTCGCCTGCTGGCGACTCCTGATTTAGATGCAACTTACTGCGCTCTCAGCTATTGTGAAGTTTTTCCTCGCTGTTAATTTTTGCTCTATTGCAAAGCTGCCTGTGAGATAAATTGCATATTTTAATCTGTCTGTAATTATGGGGTGTCAGACGTGCCGGATTAGAGGAGGAGATAATGGGTTGCCCATGTCTCTCCCTCCTTCTGCAGCGGTGTAACGGTGTATTCATTGACAGATTGAAGTGGTAAACTGTGCTGTGGGTGGGTTTAACTTACGTATTCCCCTCAAGATGCTTGTCTATTTATACTCTCCCCCCCCTTTCCCCCCATCACGTTCTCTCGGTCTATTTCTTGGACTTTGCCTTTTTTTATTCTGCCAATTTGATATCAGGGGAAATTGAAGGTTTTCCTGCGACCCACCTGCACTATGCGTTTAAGTTGCATTCTGCCACTTTAAAAAGTCAGGGCTTCCCCCAAAGAAGCACGGGAAGTTTAGTTTGTTAAGGGTGATGAGAGTTTTTAGGTGGCCTCTATTCCCCTCCCAGAGCAATAATTCACAGAGTGATTTAACCAACAATCCCTCTTCTCAGGGAATTCTGGAAATTGTAGCTCTGGGAGGGGAATAGAGGTTTCCTAACAGCTCTCACTACTCTTAACCATTCTCAGAGTTCTTTTTTGGGGGGTAATTTTTTATTGCATTTATATCCCACCCCTGGGATATAAGCTGCTGATGAGGACTCATATATATATATATATATATATATGCAGGTTTTGGTGTCCTCGGGTGTCTTCCCGTGTCTTACACGGGAAGACACCCGAGGACACCAAAACCTGCATTCCTGTACCCGTGAAAATCTACGAAAGCATATATATATATATATATATATTTGCTTTCGTAGATTTTCACGGGTACAGGAATGCAGGTTTTGGTGTCCTCGGGTGTCTTCCCGTGTAAAAGTTGGGGTGTCTAGGCGACGTTTCGACGAGGTCTCACTCGTCATCTTCAGGCTGGTGCTTTCGGCTTCTTGTTACTGGAACAGAGCAGGATCTCAGTGTTTGAGTTCCTATAAATACTGTTGAGGGGGTGTGGTGTATAGCCTCCAATGTTCTGGGCAGAGAGGAAGTTCCCAGGTTAGTGTGCCTTTTCTTCTTTTGTTCCTTAATTACTTGAGGGATATCTTGAGTGATTTCTTGAGTGATATCCTGAGTACCACTTAGGTGGGTCATTAGGTGTGGATTAGTTGCTAAAGCCTTCGTGTCTTGACCTCTTGAACTTTGTGAAGAGTTTTTCTGAGAAGATGGCTGTACTGCAATTAGTTGTGCTCTGGCTTGGCTTCGTGTATAGGGGCGAGCTGTGGTTTTGTGTCCTGTGCCAGCCAGATCTGTGTAGGGATTGCAGGGGGGTGCAGCATCCGGAGGTGCCACCATGGTTTGGCTACTGGATGGTGTCTGTAATTTATCTGTGGAGAGGGTCTGGGTTTGGGTCTGGTGTGGTTGATTGGTGATGGCGTTCTGTGTGCCTCTGGATCTGGTGTCGGTTTTTGTGGGGAGGGCTAATTTCCAGATGTCTGGCAGGCGGGATGTGTCGTCACGCTTGTTCATGTTGTGAGGGTGTTTCTCTATCTCGATGGCTTCCATGATTATTCTCTTGTGGTGATGTTCCATGTTAGAGAGCAATTTGGAATCTGCAAAATTGATTTCGTGTCCTGTTTCTTTCATGTGTTGGAAAAGAGAGGAAGTTTTTTCTTCTTTTTTGACGGCATTCTTGTGTTCTGCGATACGTGCATTTATTCGTCTGTTTGTTTGTCCAATGTACGTGGCTGGGCAGACTTTGCAGGGTATTTCATAGACCCCTTGGTTTTCCAACTGGATTTTATCCTTGGGGTTTCTGAGGATATTGGCTATTTTTTGGTTGGTGCAAAAGGCTGTTTTGATATTGTGTTTATGGAGGATTTTGCTAATTTTATCTGTAGTGCCCTTGATATAAGGAAGGAGGGCCATGCCATTGTTTTCTTCTGTGTCTTGGTTTTTGGGGGGTGTTTCTTTTTGCATTAGCTTCGTAACCCTGTTTTGCTGGTATCCATTGGCGATTAACACATTGGAGAGATTCTGTAACTCAGTTGTCAAGTGGTCTTTGTCAGCCAGGCGTTTGGTTCTGGAGATGAGAGTCTTGGCTACGGAGTTTATTTGTGCAGGGTGGTGGTGTGATTGTGCATGTAAGTAGCGGTTGGTGTGTGTTTTTTTCCGGTAGATAGTGTGTCCTAGGGAGCCATCAGGTTTTTTGTAGATTAGGACGTCAAGGAAGGGAAGTTGGTTGTTGGCTTCTATTTCCATAGTGAATTGTATTTTGGGGTGTAGGCTGTTGAGATGTGTGAGGAAGCTATCTAGTTTTTCCTTCCCGTGTGGCCAAATTACAAAGGTGTCGTCAACATATCTGAGCCAAAGTTTGGGTTTGTGTTCTGACTTGTCTAAAGCATTGGTTTCAAAGTGTTCCATGTACAGGTTTGCGATGACCGGTGAGAGTGGTGATCCCATAGGTGCTCCTTCTATCTGTTTGTATCTTTGTCCATTGTGGATGAAGTACGTGTTGGTTAGGCAGTGGTTGGTCAGGTCCAGGATGTATTCGGGGGGATTGTATTTGTTTTGAATGGCTGTCAAGGCTTCATTAATGGGCACTTGTGTGAAGAGAGATACAACATCGAAGCTCACAAGTAGGTCATTGGGATGTAGGTTTTGCTTCTTTATTGTTTCTATGAACTGGAAGGAGTTTGTAACGTGTGAAGAGATGGATTCTGCATAGGGCTGAAGTTGCTTAGCGAGAAATTTAGCGAGATTTTGTAGAGGTGAGCCTATGGAGCTGACTATTGGTCTGAGTGGTGTTCCTTCTTTGTGTATCTTGGGGAGGCCGTAGAGTTTGGGGCATCTGGATGATTTTTCTCTGGGGATGATTCTTAGCTGGATTTCTTCACTGATAGGAGAGGCTTTTATTTTGGATTTGGTGGTTTTTTCCAGATAGGTGGTGGGATCTGTTTTTATAGGTTGGTAAGTAGGGTCTTGGAGTAGATTTGATAGTTTTGCTTGGTAGTCCGATGTGTTCATCACAACAGTGGCATTACCTTTGTCTGCTGGGAGAATGATTATGTTGTTGTCTTTCCTCAGGTTGGTGAGTGCTTTCTGTTCTTCCTCACCAACCTGAGGAAAGACAACAACATAATCATTCTCCCAGCAGACAAAGGTAATGCCACTGTTGTGATGAACACATCGGACTACCAAGCAAAACTATCAAATCTACTCCAAGACCCTACTTACCAACCTATAAAAACAGATCCCACCACCTATCTGGAAAAAACCACCAAATCCAAAATAAAAGCCTCTCCTATCAGTGAAGAAATCCAGCTAAGAATCATCCCCAGAGAAAAATCATCCAGATGCCCCAAACTCTACGGCCTCCCCAAGATACACAAAGAAGGAACACCACTCAGACCAATAGTCAGCTCCATAGGCTCACCTCTACAAAATCTCGCTAAATTTCTCGCTAAGCAACTTCAGCCCTATGCAGAATCCATCTCTTCACACGTTACAAACTCCTTCCAGTTCATAGAAACAATAAAGAAGCAAAACCTACATCCCAATGACCTACTTGTGAGCTTCGATGTTGTATCTCTCTTCACACAAGTGCCCATTAATGAAGCCTTGACAGCCATTCAAAACAAATACAATCCCCCCGAATACATCCTGGACCTGACCAACCACTGCCTAACCAACACGTACTTCATCCACAATGGACAAAGATACAAACAGATAGAAGGAGCACCTATGGGATCACCACTCTCACCGGTCATCGCAAACCTGTACATGGAACACTTTGAAACCAATGCTTTAGACAAGTCAGAACACAAACCCAAACTTTGGCTCAGATATGTTGACGACACCTTTGTAATTTGGCCACACGGGAAGGAAAAACTAGATAGCTTCCTCACACATCTCAACAGCCTACACCCCAAAATACAATTCACTATGGAAATAGAAGCCAACAACCAACTTCCCTTCCTTGACGTCCTAATCTACAAAAAACCTGATGGCTCCCTAGGACACACTATCTACCGGAAAAAAACACACACCAACCGCTACTTACATGCACAATCACACCACCACCCTGCACAAATAAACTCCGTAGCCAAGACTCTCATCTCCAGAACCAAACGCCTGGCTGACAAAGACCACTTGACAACTGAGTTACAGAATCTCTCCAATGTGTTAATCGCCAATGGATACCAGCAAAACAGGGTTACGAAGCTAATGCAAAAAGAAACACCCCCCAAAAACCAAGACACAGAAGAAAACAATGGCATGGCCCTCCTTCCTTATATCAAGGGCACTACAGATAAAATTAGCAAAATCCTCCATAAACACAAT